CTCGCCTAAAGCGAAGGAGGAGGCATTAGGTGTAGCCTCTCTTCTGAAGGGGGTGGCGGCGATTGATTTTGTCCAGATATTCTCTCCTCGGCTAGTAGTGACTGCAAGTCGCTGCCATTTGCCAAGCTGTTGAACTCGACTGCTTTGGAAGGTGCAGTTGGATAGCGTCTTTGACAGAAAGTCATTAATCTTTTGACTGATTGTAAGTATTTGCGAGTTGTCTCGTCGTTCATGATGTGTGCAACACTGTTGGTGTAGATTTTTTCACGGGCTGAACGTTCATGGATACCAACCATAGTAACACCAATAGGCCAAGGTGCGTTGCCGATGGCCAACTTAATGTAATGGTCCATTGCGGCTAGGTAGTCCCGCTTCATGCAGCACTCAACGACCACTAGCAATGCTTGACGGATATCGTCTGGAAGAACCTATGAACAAAATGCATCATGTATTAAATGCACTGTGGTTGTGTAATCCAGAATGCAGATTCGGACCAATAATAGAAACACCTTTGAACAACCAAGTTTAGACATGCATATAGGCTATCTTGGGCAGTTTTGATTTAGTACCTAAGGAAACAAACCATCAAGACTTCCCAGTTGAAATTCATGAATGAGAAATATGAATATATATATATATATATATAAAATAACTGCCACATTCAAGTCTGTCTTTTTATATAAAGAACGAAACATTATTTATAGGGAAGAAAAAAAAACTACAAGAGAGAAGGCAAGAAAATATTCTCAAGAAAAAAAAAAGGAAAAAATAAAACTAACTCAATTTTACTTAAAAAAAGTAATTCAAAGAGTTGTCTTAAACAAATAACAAATTAGACTGTTCCAAAAGCTCCTGAACAAGGACAAGGAATTATTTTCTTCCACCTATTTCCTTTGCATCCACCATAATCGTTAAAGTTGCTAATATCTACAGTTCATTTTCCACTTCCTCTTTCCTACTGTACGTCATTAGAGAAAAAATCCACCGTCACATATTTGAGCAAGTACTAACTGACTTTAAGCTCAAAGGATCAATAAGAGATTGAGGATCTCTATTTTCTTTTCCCACATTTAATGGCGCAATAAAAAATAAAGTCTTTTTTCTGGAATGTTCTCACTTGGAGCCAAAATAATTAAATTCCTGACTCTAGATATGGACCAATGCCATATTCAAGTCTTTAGTTACAGATATTTCAGACATGCTTCAATTCTCCATTTGCATCCTAATTTAGCCACAGAGATGCAAACCATGCTAGCCTCACTATGCTTCTATCTTCTATTCATTTGGAACTGTATATACCTTCACCAAGTATGGTATTGGAACCATAATGGTTCTTTATAGAACCAAAAGAAAACCCCATGAAAGAGAGGTATTATAAGAAGCTAGAATCCAATGGCTAGAGAGTAAAAATGAACTGCTCCACATACTTGGATTTACAAATTAATCTATCATATAATTTGAGCATCTTAAGTGGTAAAATATTTTGCTAATCGGCTCATGGATTTACAGAAGTGACTTCTATACCGGTGATGAGAGGTGATCCACCTAGCAAAAGCATCCTACTCAAGACTCAAAAATATATGGGATAAGCTTGACATGTAATGAGACTGTATTATTTATGATTACCATTAAACTAACATTTAGAACACTGTTCATTCCTGCAACATTTTTTACTTCAATTTTTTCTTCTTTTAAATCCACTTTGCTCCATAGCCAATACATAAAGAAAACAATGTCAGCATATAGGCAAGTTTTTGAAACATGATCCCTGTCAATTTGTTCTTAGCTGAAACATGCTATTATCAGAAAACTCAGCTGTCAAATATCTGTCCTGAAATCCTAACTAGAAGATAGTTTCTCCCCATCTTTACCGTCTATAAGCTATGGTTTAGCACAAGAATGTGTTGACAACAATTGAATCATGTAGTCAAGAATCACTCAAATTCTACACGAAAATATTCCCCCACAGAAACAGATTTTGGCAGCATTTAATTATCTAATTCATATCGGTTATACCATTAAGGTGCACAAGGAATTCTAGGAACTAATTAAGTTGTAGTACTCACCCTAAATCAAGCCTCAAACGTAATGCAATTGCCCTTGACACAGACAAACTGAAAACCACACAACAATATCGTTTGCGTAATATAATAGTTTTTCTTTGATCGGCAAATTTAGACTGCGTCTAAAGACAATATCAGAAGAGCAATAAGAGCAAATACTCACTTTCTTCCTACAAAACTTGAACAGGGGATTCAGATACCTAGCGCACTGCTTAAAAGTGGCCACCATGGACTTGCCTTTAGCCGTTCGCTTCTCTGCATCGGTCATCGCATCCAACTCCTGCTTCCACTCGTTCAACAGCCTTTTGAAGAAGACCAGTATCTTGTCCTCGTCGCAGAGCTCCTCGAAGTTGGTCTTCATTCGCTTTAAATCCTTATCGGCGTCGACCCCACTGGAACCCCCATCCCCGCTTAAGTCCTCCTCTCCTCCGCCTCCCTCTCCGTCCTCTCCACCTCCCTCCTTCCTATCCTTCCTCTTTCTCTCGCTCAGGATCCCCGTCTTCTGCCGCTTTCTCAGTTCCGCGATGTCACGTAAGAAGTCGTTCGTCTGCCCTTCCGTCATGTCACTATCGACCTCAAAGAGCCCTGCCTTTAACACATATTTCAGTCGGTCGAGGCGGGCGTTTTCGTCCTCGCCAAAGAGAGTGATAGGCTGCTTAAGGAAGCGGAGTCGCCGGATAACTTCCTGCTTAGGGAGCACGAGATTATCGATGTTTCCTTCGTCAATTAGGGATTTGGACGAAGCGGCGGACGAGGAAGAAGCAGCGGATGCAGCCGTAGCAGATGCGATTGACGTAGAGGACTTGGAGGCGGAAACCGCTGTTGTTGTGGAGGCGGCGGAGAGATCAGTAGCGGATTTGCGCAGGCTTTTGGCTTCCTGCTCCTGACGTTCCAGCTCGCGGAGCTTTTGGATTTGTTTCTGCTCGATCTCGGATCGCTTGAAGACTTTCCTGCCGCCGGTGTCCTGGGCGAGGCTTTGCCTTTTCTTGAGGAGTTCTTGCTTCAGGAGATCCATAGCAGATGAATTTCGTCTTCTCTGTTCTGAGTTTCTCTTGAATGGAGGTGTAGTTCGATCTCAAGTTCAAAACAAAGGGCTTTTAACTCCCCTCTGTATAGACGTAATATTAGGGCATTATTTTTTTTTTTAAAAATATTTAAATTAATTTTTGTATTTTGTTTATTAAATAATAAATAAATAAATTAAATTAAATTATAATAAATAATAAAATTTGAAAAAATAATTCAATAATTTATTTTATTATTTATTGTTATTTTGTAAATTGCAATGTCGACTGGTTTTGCCATTCGTTATTGACTTAAAACTTGTTATTATCCAGCCCTCGTTTTACCAGAGTCGAGAGAGAGAGAGAGAGAGAGATAGAGAGAGAGATGACGACGATACGCAGATTTTGCTGCAACGATCTCCTTCGCTTCACTTCTGTCAATCTTGACCACCTCACTGAAACTGTAAGATGTCAGCTCTTTTGATTGAATCTGTATGCGCATCGCGCGTAAAAACTCTTCAAATTACTTTTCTTGTCGAGGGAAAAATCACCAATCACTATTAATTGATAAATTAACAATGCAGTTCAACATGTCCTTCTACATGACCTATTTAGCAAGATGGCCTGACTACTTCCATGTTGCAGAAGGCCCTGGTAACCGAATCATGGGTTACAGTAAGTTCCTCTCCTTCATCTTGCTTTTCTTCTCTTTTTTTTTTTTTTTTTTTTTTTTTTTTTTTTTTCTCTTTTGCATTTTTTCTCTTCTTTTGTTTACAGTGTTATCGATTATCACTATGATACAATGGTAATTTGTGACGGTAAAGCAGAGGATTTGGGGATTATGTTGAAAGATTGAGAGGGCTGATGTATAGTAATCTGAGAATTTGAGGAAGGGTGCTGGTTAATGGTTGTTATTGTTGTCTACAAGCTGAGGAAACTTGTAATTACCTTTTATTATAGTGCCCGATGGCATATGGGTCATGGTGCATGATCTATAGTCTTTTGGGGATTGATTGGGTTATGCCTGGGTCTGTGAAGGGAGAAATTTGGGCTTGAGATGCGTTATATGTAAAAATTAAGATTACTAACTTGATTCCTTTGACCGTTTTCTGAGTCATTGAAAAGATAGAAGTAGTAGGGTTTTTGATAGCGTAGAGAGTAGTATCCTTAATTTAAAAGATAGGTGGTTTCACTAATTTGAGTTTATTTTATTAGGTCATGATATTATCAGTGATGCAAATTTTGGGAATGTTATTGATATGTTAACATGATTGTAAATCTTTTGTAAATAGGTGGTATTCCCTTTTTGGTACTTGTTAATACATACTATACTTTTTATCTCAAAAAAAAAGGAAAAGCAGGGAGAGATAACAGAGAGAAGAATCAGATAGATATAATAGAGAGGGAAAAGAAGCAGAAAGAGGAGATAGCAGAAACTGTTCTGATTTCATTTCTTAACGTCACTACAAGATGCTTCCTTCCTCTTTTATAGCCCTAGCCCCTAATTAACCTATTAACTAACCAACTGACTACTTCCCACATATCAATGCTCTCCTTCTAAAAGTCACCATGCCCTTGAGGTGCACAATGAACCTAAGGATCTTATTAGTCAAAGTAGAAGCTGTTGTCCTGGCTAAACATATGTTCTTTCTGCTTTGCTCCCTTAGAACCTGGATCTGTTTTGTTTTGTTTTTTGTTTTAATAACATAGAACCTTTATCTATATAACTGCTAGATGATTTATTTGGGTATAACTTGTTATATAACCAGACATCCCTAGAAGGACAAGTCCTACTTTTTGAGAAAATTTTGATTTCATCAATCTTGGATTTCTTGACCCTCTGCCAAGATTTGTTTTTTTGAGATAAAAAGTGTGAATATATAAATATATATATATATATATGTATTTATAAACAGGGTACCCATGGGGTACCTCCCATATACAAATTTACAAAGTTATTAGGGTGTCAATAACATCCCCAAAATCCTCTGCCAAGATTTGTTGTCAATTATTTTTGCAAATATGTCTAAAAAGTCTTGTTAGCAGGAGAAGACTTCTCCATTTTAAGGTCTTGGTGGTCAAGTTTTGATTCAACGCACATTTTCAGTACCCTCTTTGTATCAACAACCTCTTGCACACTCCCAACCATCTTTATCATGGTTTGGTGCCAAGCTGGGGGTATCTACTCCCTTCATAAGTGCTGCTGGATTTTCCAAAGATACACGTGATTTGGACTCCAGAATTCTCCCGTTCTTGATGTACCGGATTCTTATCTGAATCTGCCATCACCTGGGAGCATTGTGTGTGAGATTGATTAAGATTTTCTTGATTTCACCTAATGCTTTCTTCACCCCACTCAATTCTTCTTTCATTTCATCCATTTCTCGATTCACTCTTTTTTTGCAAATTTCCAAATTGTTTAGCAATTTCTTGCATTTTTCTTTTTTCTTGTGTACAAGAATTGTTGGAAATTCCCATCTTGACAAGATGTCAGCTCTGATAGCAAATGATATATGGTAATTAGTGATAGATGGAATTAAAGGAAACAGATAATGACAGAACGATAGAGAGAGATCATAGAGAGAAGAATGAAACAAGAAAGAGATAGGTTTAACAGAGAGAGAAAAGAAGCAGGGGCAAGTTGCTTCCTTCCTCTTTTATGGCCCTAGCCTGTAACTAATCTACTAAGTACCCAACTAATTATTTTCCACATATGAGGGGGTGTGAAGAGGTTGGATAAAGAAAAGAGTTTTATCCATTCATCAACTTGCATGATGTGCACAAATGATTCCCTTCTCCATTTATACTTTATAATTTATCTCTTAGCTGACCTAATTATCTTCATCACAGCTGTTTGATCTCTGACGTTTGTCTATACTTGCTAAGTCTTTTAGCTCTTCCTTGTATCAGTTCCCCCTCTCGTTAAACAATTGTTTCCCTCAAGGACCAAGGTTTAGGGCAGTATCTTGCTCGTCCTCTTTCCTTCTTGGGTTGTAACAACATACAGATACTTTGTTTTTAATTTTTTGAGAGTTGTTCCAACATTGTGGCTGATTATTTGGAGTTTCGTTGGTATTTTGGGTAAAGTGTGTTTTGATTGGATTGATTTGTAACTTTGACAGGCTATTTTATATCCTTTTTCCCTTTATTTGGCATTAAATATTTGACTTACTGAAAGCAAGCTGTATCTAATGTATTCAAATGATTGTAGTTATGGGAAAAGTTGAAGGACAAGGTGAGTCCTGGCATGGTCATGTGACTGCAGTAACTGTTGCTCCAGAGTACCGCCGGCAGCAATTAGCCAAGAAACTGATGAACCTGCTGGAAGATATAAGTGACAAGATGTAAGAAAGTTTAATTTTTTATAAAATTATCATCCTTATTTTTTAATTAGCTGTATTTTAAGCTTTTGTTAATAGCATAGTTACCACCACCACTCCATACTCATGAATTTTTTATCGGAATTTGCCAAACTGCTGTGGAGAGAATCGAATCACTTATCTTCTTGTTGGATTCTTGCTCCTATGACACTGGCATAGTACATTGAGGAAAGGATACAAATTTGGTATTTATGATCATTATTTATTACATCTCACATTTTTAGGCCTAGTTCAGATCTCTAATACTGATAATTTTCTGAGAAAGCTCCATAGCATACTGCATTTTAATGTATTCATTGGATCAGTATCTTGAAATAGAGATAGGCTAGAGCTTATTGAAGACCTTCTATGCTTTTGGTTGTGTCTTTCTCTCTGCTCCTATTCAGATGAATAACAAGGCCCATCAGTTCAAGAGTCCCTAATTTTTTATTTTTCCCTTTCCAATCACTTTGTACTCCTAAAAGTAAAGACATACCCTTTTATTTTTTTAAAAAAGTAAAGCATACCCTTGATTATGGATCATGGAGCTTATTTGGACTTCTATTGGCAGTGATAAAGCTTACTTTGTGGATCTTTTTGTGAGAGCTTCAAACACACCAGCCATTAAGATGTATGAAAAGGTGATGATTCTTTAACTTCTCTTTTCAAATTCTCCATATGTAAAATGTTTTTGTCTGAGTATACATGCCTTATTTCTGGCATAGGAGGCGGTCAAAATCAATTGTTGCTTTATGAAATCATTAGGAAAAAAAGTAATATTCCTGAGCCTCTGGATTCGATTTTGATCTTGACCATTACTTTGGGTCTTCATTGATTGCAGAGTAAGTGAGAACTAATGGTAGCATCTATAAACTCATCAAGTGGAGCAGATACTCCATTTACTTTTGTCCTTGTCTTTCATATTAAGTAGCTCCTCCTCTAAGCAAATATAACAAGTTGTTCAGAAGGTGGGAGGAAAAATTAAAATATTTCATGACAACACACTATAGGGACGTCTTTTGTGCTTTTCATCAACAAAATTTGCTCAAGGCATTCTAATGGATCATGCTACTTGCATAACCCCTAATAGGCTAGCGCATTTAACTGCATTTTCTCTTTTTAAAAGGAAATTTGTGAATATAATCTATAGGGGAGTACTTTAGGAAGACTATGCCCTGCAAATGTTTTTTACACAAGATTCTGAATGACCTTTTTCTTCTTCTCCTCTGGGTTTAAGATAAAACATCCTGCTAACTTGAGTTTTAGAGAGACAACCATTCTTTTCATTTTTTATATGTCAGTGGTCACAACTCTGCATTAAGTTCTGAGAGGGTTGTGAGTGAGAGGTAGAAGTAGAATTACTTCTCCCGACCATAAGGAATGGGGTTGCTGGAGTACATAGTTGTCAGGTCCTGAGTGATGGCTTGTTTTGGTGAGTCTGTCCATTTACAGATAAATTCATGAGACGAGCCCTTTCAAGATATGGATAGTTATGGCTTGGGTACCTTGTTGCTCCAACATGCCTTCCGTCAGGCTTCCCTTTTGATGAGTAAGAATACCCCCAGTTTCCATTGTTGCGTATTCATTAAAATTTCTTTTTGATTCTTTTTTATGGTAAAGAAAATTGTATTAGAATGACAGAAACGAAAGTTGGAGGATAAGATACTGTCATCAAAGAAACGAAAACATATAACATGAAGTCACCAATGGAAAATAAGTTTAGACAGAGGAAAAAAACATCAGTGTGAAATGCAACCTATTCCATTCGCATAGTAGACAAAGGCACCCCTTGAATAAACCATGAGGCTTGACCCACATAGAAGCCATGAATACTACTGTCCCAAGAGCCAAACTGAGGGTAAAGCACAATGAAAAATCCTGGAATTACCATCCTCTGGGCCTTAGGCCCCTTGTTTCTCCCAATGCCCTAAAGATCAGAAGATATAAGGCATGATTGGAGCATTAGAAGTGTTATGCTGAGTTAGAACCAATCCGAACAGAAGGAAACCATGTTGACACTTTTCCCTTTTGTCCAATTGATTAAACACATTTTTGTCTTTCTAACGATCATTTTCTTTTGATCTGTTTTTGATCATGAAAGGAATGAAAGATCTTTCTATTGAGGTTAAGTATTTCAGAATCTCAATTACGGAAGGTGATAGTTCATTCCTTTAATATTAACATATATGACTTATCTAAACATAAGAGTTTTAGAATAATTTTTTGTAGTATCGAAGGTGTGCAGTGGCTAAAGGACATGTTTCTTAGTCTAAATGCACCACAAGGGAGTATATTTCGCGCAACATTTAGAGACACAAACAGACATTTAGAAGTTAGACGGAATGCTAATGGGGCGATTCGTAGTTCTGTCTGAATATTTTATGGGAGGAAGAGTAAATGGGATAAATGTTCCTGAAGGATAGGAAGGAACAAGGTGGACGTGACTAAGCAGAGCCCCTGATGGATCTGTTCCAAATTATCTATAACTTGAAATTAACAGAGAGCTATTCTCTGTTAATTTTGGTTAACTTAAGACAAAAAGATTCAATGCATGGCAAAATTTTCAAAGAGTATTTCAATACAATCAGCCAGAAATTATTTTTGAAAGAATTGACCTACACTCCAGAAAAAGATGTCTTTCCTGAGTTGGATTTTCGTCCAGGTCACTCTTTCTTTTGGAGACTTTCTGATCTGCAATGGATGGAAAGAAAATGATGGTTAAAGCCGAAGCTCAAAGTTCCGTAGTGTAAGGACACACATGATTACATTCTACTGTAGTTTGAGTCAACGGAGATCGACTGTGATACCAATGTGGATCTGACTGTTAACGATAACAATGATCAGGTGAAAGGTAACCACAATGTCGTTTTTAGGGGCCAGATCTAGATACACAAGGAGAACAATTCAGCAAAGGCCTTGTGCCTTGTTTCAGGACAACCCCTAAATTCCATAGCTTTGAGTCTGCTATCCTGATCATGATTTTTCTATCCTCAGAGAAAAGATTGATCCTTATAGGTCGGTTGTGGGTAACGAGGGATTCAAGCCCCCCAACAGCATATGTTTAGCAAGGTCTTATGCCTCAGTAACCAAATCAATAGCTTTTTTAACAAAAGAAAGAGTTGTTTCTTTTTAGCTTGGCCACTAGCAAGCTTTGCAGTCTTCCTGACCTTAAAATTTTTAATATCATTTTTGTTTTAGGTTGACAGAGAATTACTGTTTTTGTCATAGAAAAGTAATATTGTTCTCTCTCCCACATTTCAATCATATAGCCGAAGTCGACAAAAAGAATTAGACTCACTTGCATGGGAATGACATCACACAAGATGGTGTCTCCATATGTACCACAGCGGAAAGAAACAATGCATTTCTGAGTTACCAGAATCGTTGTCTCATCGATCCATACTACCTTGTATGGTTGTGGATCTAGTTTTATGAGACATTTGAGGTGCTCTACCGTTGAGATGTACACTGCATTCATGGAACTTCCACCATCAATGACAAGCTTTTAGGTTTTAGGTCCACAAATTACAAGTGTTTGGAATAATGTAGTATGACGCTAGTCATCTTTCTCAATCTGAGAGTTGCAAGGATGTTGGATTTTAAGTAATCATCATCAAGGGAAACATCATCTTCCCTATTTGATGCATTTCTTTCTTCTTCTTCAATTCCAATATTTAAGTTATGCCTTGATAATCCATATGACCTGGACGTTTCTCTAATTGCCAATGAGGTGATGGAGGATGTTAGAAGATCAAGAACTAAAAGATTGTTGCTCAAACTAGATTTCGAGAATACTTATGGTTGTGTCAGTTGGGATATTTTTAGATATTAGGGGCGGAAATTTTTTGGTGATAGACAAAGGTTTTGGATTTGGGGGTGTATTTCTTATGTCATTTTTGTTGTTTTAGTTAGTGGCAAATCTAGAGATTGGTTTTATGGACGGTGCAAGTTGAGACAAGGTGCTCTCTTTTCTTCCTTTCTCTTCATGGTTTTTGTCAATGTTCTCAACCTTATATTTTCTTGAGAATCTGAGAGAGGGGTGTTTGAGGGTCTTAGGGTTGTTCATGAAAGAGTGGAAGTGTCTTACCTTTAGTTTGCTAATGATACAATTTTTTTCTTGTTCTTAAGGATATTCTGAATTCTACAATGTGCTCATATTGTTTATTCCTCATTCTAAATTCTCCAATTCCTTTTATCAGCATTAGGCTCAAAAGTCTTGACCATATCCCCAAAAGTAGAAAAAAGTGTCTTGTCCAAAAACTTCCTTATTTTGTGGTTTCAACTTACTCTTGAGAAAATGAAGTTTGTCTTGAACTTAAAACCTTTCCAATCAAATATAAATTTTATTAACTTCTTTACCCATGCTCACCATAAATAAAAGATCTGATCTTAACTCATTAACTCAACCGAATATTTTCTTTAAGAAGATTAAGAACTAAACATATTTTTCCTTGATATACATTGATATTATTTTAGACACAATATTGCTAATTTTAATTGATTTTTCATGCTAATAGCAGCCCACTAGTTTTGGCAATAGTATGAAAGCTTTATGTTATATTTTATCTTGATAAAATATATATACAATGTTCTAAATTAAATGAAGTGAACTGGCCCGGGCTAATTTGGAACTAAAACAAAAAAAAGAAAGTCTGCCTAAAATTTTTAGCCTTAGTCCATGGGTTTGGAATACATGCTCATGCCTTCAAAAAAATGTGGATTGGGCTGCTAGGGATCCTCAATTTGATAATGTCAATTAAAAATGATCTGATATTGATGTTGTCAATTTTCTGCTAAGGAAGCGGCTGATAGAAAATCATGTGGGCTTTTCAAGTTGATTTGAGACTTTGGGAGTGAGCCCTCTGCTCGAGATGTCCAGTTGCCAAAAGTTTGATGCCTGAGTGGCCATTGAGATTTTCGGGGTCAAGTGTTCAGGGGCTACTAAAATGTCTTGGGATTGGGTGTAGATAGTAGCTCTTTTGGCTGATGAGCTTGTGCCAGGTAGGGAGTTGTCTCTTGGGACATGTGGCATCCATTGAGCGGGCTGGGCATAGCACTAGCCAGACCTCCCTGCTCTCATATCATGCTAGAAATTGAATTGAAATATTGAACTTGATATTATGTTGGATGAATAATTGGTGTATTTATAGGGATATAAGAAAAAAACAACCAAGAGTAGAGTTTATTTTATACATCAACTATATTCAGTCCAACCTATATAGTATAGTAACTAGATAGGAAAGACTGTTCGACAAATATCGTACTATACTATTATTCATATTATTTAGCACACCCTAGTGGTAGATAGATATCATCAAGAACCTCTCTCCATTGCAATGATAAGGCTTAAATGATAATGTTACACAGGCTAGTGGGTCTCTAGTCTTTAACCTTAAACAGTTCTTTTTAGGAACTGAAGTAATGAAAGTGGAAATCACATCGGTTTCAATTTCCTCATTAAGGTAGAACTTTTGAGATACTTTTAGGATATCCCCTTCACAATGTTGCAACAGATTTGGAAAACATGCAATGAAAAACAGCAACTTTCTATTTAAGTTAGAACTTCTAAGATAAGTCTAAAATATCCCATCTAAAATTCCACACAGCTGTCCTGACTTCCTTTCAGAGGAAGGTATCACTTTGGAAGGACATGTTTATGTCTACTTCGTTTGTCTATATTCTCCCAGTAGCATGAGTTATTGTTTGACTGTCAAATTTTATTTTTTAATTTTTTGAAATGAAATAGCATGAGTAATTGTTACCAGGCACTGAATGTCAAAATCAATTTATTTCCTTGTTTAGTGGGAGAATTCTGACTACCAGCCTTTAGATAAAATCCAATTTTCATAGAGCGCCTGGCCGTGGTAGATTGGGGAGGTTTAAAAATCAAATGCATTATTTGCAAGAATTAGTTCAATATAGAATCTATTTTTATATGGAGCAATGATTTTTTACTGTGCCTATCGCCATAATATAACTTCTTTCATTCTTTCTCAGCTTGGTTACGTAATCTATAGGCGGGTACTGCGTTATTACTCGGGGGAAGAAGATGGATTAGGTGTGCTTCCATGAGCAACCACAGTTTTTTTTTTTTTTTGATTTCATTTGGTTCAAATGGAGTTTGCCTCTTACAGTTTGTTTTTTGGCCCATTGTTAGATATGAGGAAAGCATTATCTCGAGATATTGAAAAGAAGTCCGTAATCCCGCTTAAACGGGCAGTTACGCCTGATGAATTGGAGTATGATTAGCTATGCTTTTTGATGATATTTAGGCACAAGAAGTTGGCATCAATGTATTTCGACGTACGTCTCTTGGTTTGAAGGTGTGGAAATTCGGAATCATCAACTCAGGCTTGTAGAATGAAGGTTTATTGCATCCCTAGGATCGGTTATCAGCATCACATGTTAGCAGATGTATTTCCGATGGTTTTAGGTTAAGGTTAAATCAATGAGCTTTACTGATGCGTC